TAGTTAGTACATTAATTGATACATATAACATTATTTCCAAAAAAAATACCTCCTTTGAAAAAGCTTTCTTGATGTTTGAATAATACTATATGTACTAATTAGTATACTAATCAGTGTACTAATTGATGATATGACATAATTTAAGAAATTTTTGATATTTGTAATGTGATTAATGAGTGAGATCAATAATAATGTTATAATTAGTGTTGGTACAATAACTAGTATATTAATTGGTGCATATACATATATAAATAAATAAGCAATGTCAAAAATGGATGGTTACGAAGATACAAAAATAATAGAAGAAGAATTGCAGAGAAATCCCACAAGTGGGGAAGGAAGGCACAGCTGTAGACTCTCCTGCTCTAGCGCTTAGATTTCCCGCCCTCCAACAAACAAATCCTTGTTTGGGAATCAAGTTTTTAGCATAAAATAAATAAATAAGTAAATAATAATAATAATAATAATAATAACTCATAAAATCAATAGGCTTTTCAATTTATTTTTTAGAGTAAACACTATCATTTTGTAATTTTAAATAATTTACCAAATCAACCATTTACTAATTTTAAATTTTCATTAAATTTTATCGAGAATTTATAAATTTAGATAATTTTTTTTTTTTTTATGAACTAATATAATAATTAAAAATATTTTAAGATTTTTTTTAGTCAATTCCCGAGGTCCCAATCCGGGGGCTTTGCCAACTTTAGGCTAAGCTGGCCCTGGGTATGGGGATTGTGAAGCATCTAGGGTGGCCATCGGCCCATGGACTACCCGACTCAATTAGTTTGTATATCATTCAATGTATTGTTAGAAAAACAATTATATATTTATTACAAAATTTATGATTTTAATAATTAATATTAATAAAGTTTATTACTAATATGTAATTAGAAATCCACTCATGCTTAATTTTTTCTTTATTTTTTTGACACATTTTAATAGTTTTATTGATCAGCCTTATTTAATTTGATATTTATATATTTAATTCTTTTGAACATAAATGTGATTTGATGAAAGATTTGATGATATTCGACCAACTTGATTTTTAATAAGTATCTTCTACTCGATGGTTCCTTATTCTCTAAAAATTAAACTGTTCGGATCATCAAAATAAAACTCAAAATAAGTCCCACGAGATATGCAACAGTTACTTCATATTGCACAACAATAACTCCAAATTCCAACATGAGATATCCAGGCAACTTTCACCAAAAAAAATAAACAAAAACAATACAACAATGTTACATTTGTTCCATACTAATAATTAAATGTTATGGACGCATTGATATTCATGATGCTCATATAGCTATTGTGGGACGTTATTGTTGGAAAATAGTTTTATATAGGCATAATTTTGAGCCCATTTTGGGTGGGCTCCAAACGTCTTTTGGGGTAGGTCCGAAAAGGTGACGTGTTCCTTGTCACGTAGCAAGTCATACGGTGAAGACGGAACGCCAAAACCATTTATGAGTGAATGGGAAGTTGATGTCGTTTTCGGGTTTGACATTAATTTTTAGACAAAGTTCATTTGAATTTTTCAATAAAAATTATTGTGAGAATTTAATTTTAATATAATTTTATTTTTGGTTTCCTATAATAGCTTATATAGTTTAAATATTAAATTCCAAACTGTTTGTTATTCTTTCCTCCATTGACTTTTTTGTTTAAACTATTCAAATAGTTTAAATATTAAATTCAAACAATTTTGAACTTTGCCAATCCAACGGTTCTGTGTTCAAAATTGTTTGGGGGAAATAAACACTGTTCCATGTGATACGGCAGTTTTGCACCTTTTCATTTCCTTTTGCACCTGTTCGGGTCATGTGTAATTGCCTATAAATTCTACATTCCAGCAATGTTAAGGATCCGGGGAAAAATTCAGTCTGTAGATTTTTGATATTGTTGTCCATTTTGCTCTAAGTACATATATTCTTTATTTTAGTTTTAGAATAAATAAAAGAGAGTATAGATCACAAGTTGGGTTCGCCGAACAAATTTATTTGAAGTGCTTCTATAAATTTTTGTGAAGATCATTGTATCCTGGGAGATAGACGCCATTTAATCATAAGCACCGTAGCGGGGCGAATCTGTCTTAAGGACAGAGTGTCACACACTCGACTTGGTCTTGTAATTTTTATTTGGTTCGACAAAATAAATTCGGTATGTTATTTATTTATTTTGTTTGAGTATATTTCAAGTTCTTTTATTTACACAGAAGATTGTTCCAACAATCTTAAGACAGATCCGAATTATTCTGTTTACAAAATTTTTCGTTTGTTTCCTTTTTTTTTTTCTTTCTTCGTAAATAATTTCGGAAGAAAATTATTTTCTGTGGATTTACAAAATAATATTCTGGTTAGAAAAATAAATAGTGATTATATGCTATTTGACAGATAGTAGTAATATACTGTCTCTTTTCTTTGACAACAACTAGTAGTACGATACTGGTGCCATTAACAATTCAGAATATATTTTTGTGAAATTTTTTCAGAAATTAATTTTGGATTTTTTAGAAATTATTTTCTGAGTTTTCATTAATTAAAATTATGTTTTCAGTATTTTAATTATTGAAGTGTTACTGAAATTAATTTCTTGTGTGGAATTAATTTTGTTAAATAAAATTTTATTTTATTTCCAAATTAATTGAAAAATAAAAGTTATAGTTGTTATTTCTTTTATTTTTACAGAATTTAATTTCTTGTGTGGAATTATTTTGGTTAAATAAAATTTTAGTTTATTTCCAAATTAATTGAAAAATAAAAGTTATAGTTTTTATTTTTTTTTATTTTACAGAATTTAATTTTCTGTGTGGAATTAATTTGTTTAAATAAAATTTTATTTTATTTTCAAATTAATTGGAAAATAAAAATTATAGTTTTTATTTCTTTTATTTTACAGAATTTAATTTTCTGTGTGGAATTAATTTGTTTAAATAAAATTTTATTTTATTTTCAAATTAATTGGCATAACGATTCACATCGTATATTTGGTTGCTCAAAACCATTATCGGGTGAATGAAAAATTAAAACCAAAGTGAGTTCCATGAAAATGATGTGTTTGGTGAAATTTCCATAAAGGTTGGAGGTAAAGTTTGTCCCACATTGTTTTGGTATGCAAACTTGATGTGGGTTTATAAGCCTTGGGTTTATAACTTGGGGAGGGTTCCAAGGCGTACTTAAGTTTTGTGGAATGGTGAGATTATGGGTAAAGTGGGCTAGACCCATTGGACCTAAAACAAACACACACGCGTCCACCACAACCGTTCGGGCGGGCTGGGCGCAAGTGTGTGGTTGGATTGGGCTTGTCCAGCCCAATACTAATTTTTTTTGGACAAAAAACATTTGGATTTTTTTATTTTGAAAATAAATTCTGATCGTTTTGAATTCAAATTTTAGTTGAAAAATTCAAATTTTGGCAGTTAGGCTTTTGCACCTCTTTAGTCTTTTCTGTGCAGGTTCTATACCTGTAGTTCAAACCCGAACAAGTTCATACCTGTTGACTTCACTCGAACAAGCACCTTCTACTCCTATAAATAGTTAGATCTTCATTTGGATTTGCAATCTAATTTTGTTCTTCCTCTAAGAAATTTTTGGTATTTATAATGTGATTAATGAGTGAGATCAATAATAATGTTATAATTAGTGTTAGTACAATAACTAGTATACTAATTGGTGCATATATATATAAATAAAAAAGCAATGTCAAAAATGGATGGTTACGAAGATACAAAAATAATAGAAGAAGAATTGCAGAGAAATCCCACAAGTGAGGAAGGAAGGCACAGCTGTAGACTCTCCTGCTCGGGCGCTTAGATTTCCCGCCCTCGAACAAACAAATCCTTGTTTGGGAATCAAGTTTTTAGCATAAAATAAATAAATAAATAAATAAATAATAATAATAATAATAATAATAACTCATAAAATCAATAGGCTTTTCAATTTATTTTTTAGAGTAAACACTACCATTTTGTAATTTTAAATAATTTACCAAATCAACCATTTACTAATTTTAAATTTCCATTAAATTTTGTTGAGACTTTTTAAATTTAGATAATTTTTTTTTTATGAATTAATATAATAATTAAAAATATTTTAAGATTTTTTTTAGTCAATTCCCGAGGTCCCAATCCGGGGGCTTTGCCAACTTTAGGCTAAGCTGGCCCTGGGTATGGGGATTGTGAAGCATCTAGGGTGGCCATCGGCCCATGGACTACCCGACTCAATTAGTTTGTATATCATTCAATGTATTATTAGAAAAACAATTATATATTTATTACAAAATTTATGATTTTAATAATTAATATTAATAAAGTTTATTACTAATATGTAATTAGAAATCCACTGATGCCTAATTTTTTCTTTATTTTTTTGACACATTTTAATAGTTTTATTGATCAGCCTTATTTAATTTGATATTTATATATTTAATTCTTTTGAATATAAATGTGATTTGATGAAAGATTTGCTGATATTCGACCAATTTGATTTTTAATAAGAATCTTCTACTCGATGGTTCCTTATTCTCTAAAAATTAAACTGTTCGGATCATCAAAATAAAACTCAAAATAAGTCCCACGAGATATGCAACAGTTACTTCATATTGCACAACAATAACTCCAAATTCCAACATGAGATATCCAGGCAACTTTCACCCAAAAAAATAAACAAAAACAATACAACAATGTTACATTTGTTCCATACTAATAATTAAATGTTATGGACGCATTGTTATTCATGATGCTCATGTAGTTATTGTGGGACGTTATATGCACAAAATAAAACAAAACAAAAAATTTAAAATGAGGAAACAAGTTTTGGTCTTATTATTTTAAAACAAAGGATTTATTGAAACAATTTAAAATTTTAAATTTGTCACTGTCATATTATTTTGATCATAAATTCAATAAAAATAAAATTTTCTTCTGTTTTTAAATTTACATTTTTTTTTCCCAACAATCAAAGAAAAAGATATTATAAAATGTAACATTGCGCATAAGAAGTAACATGTATTTATTAGTAGGAAGTAACCTTTTAAGGAGACAACTAAACAATCTTTTGATATTGGAATCAAAATTTATAGTAATGCTAACTTATTGATCGCTTAATTTCTTGATAGGCAGATACAATCATACAAGCCTAGCTAGGAATTCTTATTCCAAAAATAAACCTAGGCCTTCTTATTTATTCTATCTTTTCAAACTCGACAATTAATATAGTAGTCTCCAAACACAAAAAATCAATTACAGAAGTAGACATAGAATGTAGATGAAATTTTTAACCATCTCAACTAATTGAAAGCAATTTGGTACTTAGGCTGCTTGTTGGGGGAAAATAGGCCAAAATGTTGCTCAGTTCCTGCTCCATTCTTTTTGTTCTCATCAAACATAGCAAACAAGTAAGTCTCTATAGCCTTCCCAGGCCTCTTGGGAGTTCCACTCCCTCCATTCACATGCTGAATCAAATTCTTATAATAAGTCCCTGCATTGTCCGATGTAGCTCCGGCACCGCCGCCGTCAGACGGCCAGCCACTCTCCGACACCACAATCTCCACCCCGGGTCCGCCCGCCTTCTCGACGGCCGAGTACATAGCATCCAACATGGCATCAAAAAGGTTCTGGTAACCAGACTGATCAGCTGAGGCAGTGAACAGGGCATATGGAAGAGTAATGTGTTGTTGATCACCATTGTATGCAAAATAAGGGTATATGTTTGCAAGCAGTGGAGACTTGTTGGCGGCTAGGAATTGAATGATCGGTTCCATGAACGACTTCACACCGTCGAAAGAGCCTTGCGATGGAGGGTATGAGTTGCTTACTAGTGCCGAGTATGTTGCAGTTGACACCTTGATTTGGTCCTGTTGAATTCAACAAAAAAAAAATAATGTGAATAATCAAATTATATCAATAATCTAAGTAGATGATTCATAATAAGTTATCGATAGTTATATAATTGAATTAAATTTATTTTAAAAATCTAAACCCTACATATGATTTCAAATATGTCACCTATTTTTTTAAAACTAATGCAATCCAATTACGTGACTACTGATATCTAATCAGTAGTAATCAACTTGTTAGACACTAAAAGATAAATGATTCGGATCACCGAATTAGACCCGGAGTGGGCTCACATCGCATAAATTCACCCTCCAGTTCAAGGAAACTTCTTGATTTAAAATAAACCCTACATGAGTGAGGCTACCTAATTTAGAAAGATATAAGCAATGCTATTATGCTAGGAACCAAAATGATATATCAAAATTTCTATGAAATCACTCATATGCCTCTAGCATTTTTGTTTAGAAATAAACGCTTGCCTGTAAACCCAAGGCTGCAATTGCATTATAGACATTTTGCATGGCGGGGAGGACAAATTGAACATACTGAGCAGTGTCAGCTTTGTTGGGATCCACTTCGTTTCCAACCGCGATGTACCGGAACTTGACGCTAGGGAAATAATTTCCAACATTGTTTTGGACCCATTGTGATGCGGCCGAAGGATCAGACCCGAGAGCTGGAAGGTCGGGGTTGGGGACGTCGAGGACTAATTCAATGTTGGAGCCCCCCAGGGCTTGGAGGGTCGATGGATTTGGACCGTACATTCGCATCCTTCCAATGTTGTTGGATTGGTAGAGTTGTACAACTTCTTGATCTGACGGTAAGTTGTCGCCCTGTTGTCCATTACACACTCCTATGGATTGTGCATCTGCAATGGTGACATTTTTGTGAGAAAAACGCTAAATATACAAAAAAAAAAAAAAAAAAAAAAAAAATGTACAAAAAAATCGTACGAAATGATGTGGAGTGATTTTTTTGGGAATTATGAAATATAATGTTAGGCATTTTGAGTTTTAATGAATGAATATAAACAGTTCATCTCAGGTGTTATTGACTTAGATTCTATGTTTCCTTTACTAAAATGGCATAAGCTTATTATGTAATTTGTCTCATTCACGTTTTACATACTATTTCAATATATACATATCTATGATATTGAATAAATCCATAATTAGAAAAATTTTATATGTAACAAAAATGTTGACACCTGAATTTAAGATAATCATAACCATAGCATCCCATTTGAAAAAGAAGAAGAAAAGGCTCCAATGCGGAGTGAGTGAATGGATCAAATATTCAAGATCAAGAAGGCATACAAATATGCCCTTAAACAAACAAATCTAAAAGATGGATCATTAAACAAAAATATATGAGAGTAATGATATACAAATAAAAATATTATATACAAATTGTATATAGAACAATGTGGCAGAATTATAGATTTATCTCTTTAAAATAAAAACAAAAATCTATTAAGATGCTTATTAATAACTAGGTATTTAGACTCTAAACTTAACGGTCGAGTAACTCTTCAGTGGCCCCCTTTAAGTTCGACGTTGAATCTTATTCTTCAGTCTTTACCATTTAGCCGAATCCATTAGAACTGTTACTAACACATCATTTTAGTGAATGTTTTTACATGAAAATTTTGAAAGAATAATATATTTTCCTATAGAAGATAATATATATGTGTGCATGAAGTTAGCATTTTTATTATGCACTTCATAGTTCATATAGCAAAACGTTAGCATTACTATGCTTATGCTCGGTATGACATGTACGAGAGAGAGAGAGAGAGAGAGACCTGTCATATAAATGGCAGGTGAAAACAATACAAGTAGCAATACAGAAACCAGAAAAGGTTCCATTTTTAAAAGTGAAAGGAACAACTAAAACCACACTTCAATTGTTTTTTTCTTTCAAATGGAAGAAGATGTAGAAAACACTACAATCTCCCCTACTTTATATAGAAAGCCAATTACTACTACTCTGGAGGACCCAAACTGTTGCCCCTTTCAAAACTTCAATATGGTAGGTCAAACTTCAATATGGTAGGTCAGTTAGAACAAGTCCAACAGAAAAACACTAAAATCATTTGACACCATTATTTATTATACTACTACTACTAGTTTCCATCATTTTTTCACACTAATAAGCTTTTTTTTTTTTTTTTTCCTCCCACTTTCCACCACTTTTATTCTAAGCCTTCGTTTGGCATGTCAAACTTTTTAGTGTTTTAGTTATTCAAAATAGACTTTTTAGCCTAATAAGACAAAATATCACATCCAAATCATAATCATTTCATTTTTTCTCTTACAAAAGTTTAAAAAAAAACCAAAAAGCCTATTCTAAACGAGGTTTTTTAGCCCCAGACTAAAATAGTCAAAAAATTAAAAAATCAACCCACATCCCAAACGAACCCTTAAATTCACCTATGCAAATTTAAAATTCAAACAACACATAAGCTTAATTAGCCACGAATAAAATAAAATAAAAATTTTAGATGAACCGCGGAATTTTGTTCCATCTCTGATTTTGCCGCAATCTGTGGCCTATTTTGACACCAATTTATGCATTCAACATTTTTTTGGATTTTTTCTATGTGAAAAAGTCTTAGGTTTTCAATATTTTCCAAACCATTTAATTCAGCTTTGGACCCAGACCCCTCTCTCTCTGATCAAACTCAATGGACCGAACTTGAAGAATAGTTCTTACCGAAGGGTCAATTGGGTTTGGCGACGATGACTCAACAATCATCTTACACGGCATCATGTCATTTTTTCTTTTACAAAAGTTAAAAAAAAACCAAAAAACCTATTCCAAACGAGACTTTTTAGTCCCAGACTAAAATAGTCAAAAAATTAAAAAATCAACCAACATCCCAAATGAACCCTTAAATTCACCTATGCAAATTTAAAATTCAAACAACACATAAGCTTAATTAGCCACGAATAAAATAAAATAAAAATTTTAGACGAACCGCGGAATTTTGTTCCATCTCTGATTTTGCCGCAATCTGTGGCCTATTTTGACACCAATTTATGCATTCAACATTTTTTTGGATTTTTTCTATGTGAAAAAGTCTTAGGTTTTCAATATTTTCCAAACCATTTAATTCAGCTTTGGACCCAGACCCCTCTCTCTCTGATCAAACTCAATGGACCGAACTTGAAGAATAGTTCTTACCGAAGGGTCAATTGGGTTTGGCGACGATGACTCAACAATCATCTTACACGGCATCATGTTTCTTCTAAATTGAATAACTAATACACAATGAATTTGTATAGGTTTTGTTCAAAAAATAGAATTTTTATAGGTAACTAAACCAAAAAAAGATATTTTTTTTTTGAAAATTTCTTTTAATTTTCTTCTTATTTTTCTAACACTACAAAAAAATAAAGCAAATTAGCTTCTTTTTTTATTTTTTAAAATGGTTCTAGTTGGGCATCCAATTGAAGAGATATTGGGTTTGGTAAGCTCATTTGAATTGTTCATCTCGTAAGGTCTAATAAAAAGATTATTTATGTAAAAAATTAAATTGATTGAAAATCGATAACTATATAACTGAATCACATTAATCTTAAGAAAATGAACTAGTAACTATATAACTGAATCACATTAATCTTAAGAAAATGAACAAGTATAATACACTATTCATTTTTTGTAATGTAAATGTGCTATAAATGTGTTATTAATGACATCTATTCTTTTTCTTTTTCTTTGTCTTTTATTTATTTATTTATTTATTTTTTACATGAATATCCTCTCCAACAAGTCATACAAAAATTAATCATTCAACTTATCAAAATGACCCACAAAAATAGACACACTAAGCCTACAGTCCAATTGCAATGTGAGAAAATTCAAACGATTATATTTGCACACGGTTTCCGCTTAAATTTGAACAATGCTGTATAAATAGAATTTGTAAAAAAATATTTATAATATTTAACATATGATTCAAATTCATTTAAGATGTATGTTTTGTTTTTTTTATTTTTTTTTTAAGAATGTATGTTTCAATTACACATTATTATCTTTCTAAATGTATTTCTAAATTTTGTACAAATATTTTATTGTTTATTTTTAGACTACAAAGTTCCAGTTTGGATTTGCTAAAATTGAAGACCTAAGCTTTACAATGAAGTTAACCCATTATGAGATTGAATTAAACCTATTTTGGTGATCTAAACTGTTCATCTCATACAATCAATTGAAAAAATTATTTATTCAACAAATTAAATTGATCAAATATCGATTGTGATACCATCACATATGTTTTTAATAATAGACCATCCATTTATTATAATATATATGTGATTTGATCAATTGATTACTAACGTCTGATCAACTTAATTTTTTGAATATATATTTTTCTCAGTTTATCATCTGAGATGAACGGTTCAAATAATTGAAATGGGTACAAATTGGTCCATAATGCACCGACTTCACATGTAAAGTTGAGATATTTAATTTTAGAAAAATGCTTGGGAGCACTAAAAAGGGATCACTAGAGGGAGCACTAATGATGTGGCAGTAGGGCCTGCCCACTTTCTATGCCTTGTTTTTATTTTTTATTTTTGTCATTCCTAATGTATTAGTGCTATTAGTGGTGTATTTTTTAGTGGTCCAAATCATTGTTGTTAATTTTATCAAATCTAAACTCATTGCATGGCAAGGAACTCAGGATCATACGGGCATAAAAAGTTTAAAAAACAAGGTACAAAATACGTACATTTTTTTTTTTTTTTTTTTTGGGTTTGGCTTTGGTCCAATCCAAAATCAAACTGGACCGTGATGTTGAGCCTGTAGGGGCATCACGGGTCCCGTTTTGACAATCTAAACTGTGCAAATGTGTAGAACTCATTGAGTATTATATGCCTGTAAAAAATCACGTTAATCATTGCATGGCAAGGAACTCAGGATCATACGGGCATAAAAAGTTTAAAAAACAAGGTACAAAATACGTACATTTTTTTTTTTTTTTTTTATGGGTTTGGCTTTGGTTCAATCCAAAATCGAACTGGACCGTGATGTTGAGCCTGTGGGGGCATCACGGGTCCCGTTTTGACAATCTAAATTGCGCAAATGTGTAGAACTCATTGAGTATTATATGCTTGTAAAAAATCACGTTAATTGGATATCGATAGCTATATGATCAAAACAGTTTTTTTGTCAACCGTTAATTTATTCACCGTCCATTTTTTTTAATACAAAATTGATTTGATCACGTAGCTATCGATATCCAATCAACGTGATTTTTTACAGCCATATAGTATTCGACGAGTTCTACACATTGCATGGTTCAGATTATCAAAACAGGATCCATGGTGGGCCTTCACGGGCCCAACAGCACGATCCAGTCCGATCTTGGACTAGACCAAAGACAAACCCCTTTTTTATATCCACATTAAATTACAAAACATAATAATTGCTATTTAGCTTGAGTTTTCGTACTCCTTTCAGATACGACTAACCTTATAGTTCGGACTTTCGTGGTTTTGAATTTGAATCCACAAGTGCAATGTGAAATCAATAAACACAAATAAGTCCAAATTCAGCAATTCTTTCAGAAAATTGATTTTGAATCAAAATGTCAAAAATGGACTGCTTTGCCAGATTACAAAGTCGTTATCTAAATATTTTTAAAAAATTTAGGAAACTCGAGACTCGTGCCAAAGGCCACTTATCCGTCATCACCAAAGTGTCTCGTCTTGGGAACTTAGGTACGAGAAGGAAAGGTCATGAATTGAGCACCCCATTCGCCCGATCAAAGATCGGCCTCTACTAATCATGATGTGATTCTTATTTACATTATATGCTCTTGTTCCGATTATTAAGCTAACTTACTATGTGTTGTATAGACTAATTTGCAAAAGTTGGAACACTTTGATTTTATATTTGTTTTGAAAAGTGTTTGAATATGTACCACTTGAAAAAGCGATATCATATGTGCAGTAATCAAATTATCTCAAGTTAAGCAATTAGCTTTCATCCACAAGCATTCAAGAGGTAGATCAAGTAAGCACTTAGCCTCATGGTAATCATACTTGACATGGCAACCCTAACACTCATGCAATATGCTAAAGCAAAAAATACTCACCTAGAACTCCAAGGCAAGCCAAATAAAGCAAAATAATTAGAAAACATGTATGCTCCTAACTAATGCAACATGACTAATGAGACATATACAATCATGCAATTTAATAGGCTCGGCTACTAACATGGTACATGATCCAATCCAAGACATGAGAAATCACGTATTCAAGTAAGAATTTGAATTTGAATTTGACATCGGTTAGTATGATGAGCCGAATCCTAAATGCACGCGAGATGAGTGTATGCAAACATGGAAAATGCTAAGGAAACATGATGCCACATGCAATCCATCATAAACAGGTAAATAATAGGTAGAAAGACGTGGGGTTGGAAGATATACATATTATTACAATTTGCCCTCGTGCAGAATGGTTCAAATAAATACCCTAGCTAATTACTACGAATTAACTACTCTATTACAAACCAAATGAAATAAATTAACTACACTAGTTAATTACAAATTGGATTTAACTAATTAATTACACTAACTTATTGCTAATTAATTGCAAGATGAAATTTAATGACTTATGCATGCATAAGAGTTCCCTCCTCTCCTCTCCCCCTCCCCCGAGAATGACTATGTTTTGCTACCAAAAGGGTTCTGTTTTGTGGTCAGAAAATTGCACTATTTTCACGTCAGCCTCTACTCTATTCTGCAGAAAAAACAACATTGCCTGGCTAAAAAAGGTGGCCGGCTGGCTGACTAAAAGTGATAGACGACTGTATAGTATAAGTGGCCGGCCGACCACTAATGTTTGGTACTGCCGTACTGTAACAGACACAAAACAGAGCACAAACAAAGTATTTCTAGGGGATGTTTGTCCACCCTATCTCTCCTT